GCACCATTTAATTGAATGTGGCAACCATAAATGGTTGTTGCCAATTATCCATGCAACAAATATATACACACAAGCACAGCACATACAAATGTGTTACTTGAGCATAGTTTTGTCGCTGCGCGCGCAGCTGTTATTTACCGTTATATTGTTGCAACAAACAATAACAACAACAAAAGACAACTGCATACAATTGTTTTGCCGCCTAGACGCATTTACTTGTTGCCTGCGCGCCAGTCAATTATCTGGCGCACCATGTTGCAACACACGCACGCGCGCACACGCTGTCGACTATCGGCGTAGCAGTGGCGCGGTGGCGCATGCGCATACGCAGTCATAGGCGCACAGTAGTGGCAGCCGTTCAATGGATTGGCCATTCAATTCCATTTTTGGACACCTGTGGGTAGTGCGCGCTGACAACAACATGCCACAGTGCAGCATGCAACGGTGCGTGCTTGTCGTTGCGTTGCTACGAGTGTGGCGCGTAGGTGGCAGCAAGGTACCCGTAATGCGTGGGCGGGTCAGTGGTGGCTGTAGGCAGCCAACAACCGGACAATATTTTCATGTGTAAATATATATTTATTATATATATATAAATACTATTTTGTTTAAAACTATTTTTTACAACTACATAAATATATTTATTTTGCTTAGCGAAATTGGAAAAAGTGACACATGAACATGTTGAAAGTGAAAATTGTTTTTCACAGAGGCGTTGACAACAACACGTAAAAATGTGCGAAATTTTTAATGAATTTTATTACGGAGGAAAGCTTCGCTGAGGCAAAACCAATAATATATAATATTAGTAATATTTAAATTGTAAAAAAAATGCTGCTCTAGGGATATAAGCTACGTTTTTAGCGTAATTTGAGCTGATAAAAGCCTACATATATATAATAAAAATTAATGTTTAATGGGTATTTGTAGCGAAATCGAAGGCACTAGAGGCTCACGTGGCAAGCAAAATCGTAGTTTTTGAAATAACTTATGTAGAAAATTCAATACGTTTCTATAGATTGGGGTAGATCATTTTTGAAAAGAAAAAAGTCATAGTTTGATGAAACCCATTGAAAAAGAATAATATAATAAAAAACGGTTTGTCTCAATTTCCGGCAAAACAACGTGTCCTATAGAAAAATTATATCATTAAATGGAAATTTTGTAGGTTACATGGATATGTTGTGGGTAATAAAAAGATCTGTAACTTTTGTATATTGACTTTTTTTACATAACCTCAAAATTTATGTGAAAAGTTCAAATAACCAAGTTTTCGGGTTTTTTAATTTTATCTTGCACAAAATATGTGTTTCTTTCACGAAATTTGGTGTAAACTTACTTTCTTATGTTCCGAACATACTGTAATTATGAATAAAAAACCTTAATACTTGGTTATCTGAATTTTTTTCATAAGTTCTGAGGTTATGTGAAAAATGTGTCAAAACACAAGTTATAGATCTTTTCATTACCTACAACATTTCCATATATTTTTTTTTTCTATAAGAGTAGTAGTTTGGACGAAAATCGAGATAAACCATTTTTAACCCTTAAAAATTTAACCACACCACTCCGCTTCCTTTTACTGACTATAGGTCGCCCGCAAATTATTTTTCCTTAAAGTTAGTTATTTCATTCTTCATTTTCGATAGCTTTCAACCTACTATGAATTTCATTGTTTTTTATCATTTTCAAAGGCTTTTACCTCTGCACTAGCCTACTAGTAGAAAATGCAAATTTAATCTTTTTTCTTTAGTTTGTCATGAAAAAATATGATTAGGCCTAAAAGAAAAAACTTTTTTGCTAAATAGAGCGCATAGTCTTATTTTAAAAGCTTTTCAAATATCGAACATGTTTTTTTTGGATTAAAGTACGCTTCACATTAATCAATTAGAATAGTTATAAAAAAAAATTATCTTTTCATTCCGTTGTAATGTCAAAGCTTTCGAATTTGAGGCCCTCTTGCAAAATGTAATGCACAAGATTGGCTCAGTAGTCGCCATTTTGTATCGGAATACAATTATAGAAATGTTTGTAGTTATATGTATACTCAAATATATAATATACCATTAACGCGTTATAACTTCTTTCCAACCTATGTATGTCTCTTTGATTTATGCCAAAAGCTTATTCGATCCGCCACTGTCTATATTGTAAACTTACTTATAGTTAGTGGATATCTCGTAAAAATTTGGATCAATATGGTCTATAAAATGCAATCAAGAAGTTATCAAGATATAAAAGCTATGAAAACTGAAGCGATTACTCTTACCTTGTTCTGAAAGTTAACCTACCTTCGTTATACTCACCTTATGAGGTGTTTTGTGTTGTCATTAATTAATTAATTCGCACCCAGGTTTGACTAATTTACGAGCTCAGTAATCAATAAGAGAGATTTGACAGAACACAATTTAGGCATTTCGTAAAATTTGAACCCACCCAGCAAGAAATGCAATATGTATGTTATGGCGCTCTAAAAATGAGCCGAAGTCGAAAAACACAAAATTCGCTGAAGGCACTGAAGCCCATTCAAGCCGAGGCTGTAACAAATGGATCTCCAAAAGTATAGCTAAGAATCTAGTTATGATGAAATGAGATTTTTCTATGCACATCAAGCTATAAGTAGTTGTCAGCTTTTATAGGGGTGTGACCTTGCTGTGTCAAACACAGACATTTAGGTTTTTGTCTTTAATAAAAAACAATTTTTATTATTTAAAACACAGTATGATCAAAATTCTGTTAAAGAACAGTAGATATATAATATTTGCAAAAAAAGTATAAGCCCGAAATATACCAATAAATCAAAGAATTCATATTTCTCAATTATATTCCAGTTTTGCTCTTCAGTGTATATAAACATATGTTCTAAAAGTAATTCTTTAGGAGATGAGTTTCATTCATCATTTTCGTACTATTTAAACCTCTGTTTACAACAACATTCAACAAACACTTGACGCACGAAGGAGTGTCCACAATAAGTCCACTGACACACCTCTACGACCCATAAAGCTTTAACCCAGTTATAAATATACGATTTTTTATACACAAAATTTTCAGTTTTCCCATTAGCAAAAGCCAGTAAAAGTCAGCAGTGAATAAATATACGAGCACTTTCCCATGTCTTCGCACATAAAACGCATTCACTTCCTTTATTGACTTTCTTTACACAAAACTAAATTACCGAAGCGAACGCTGTAGACATATACAGTTATGTATATATGAGTATAGCCATTAATAGTTATAAGTGCAGTGCATTCTTCTGCGAATGTGTGTCTTTGGGGCAGTTAAGTGCATTCATCATTGCATGTCTCGTCACGAGAATATTTTATTCTTTTTAATTTTCTTATTTATTTCGACGCCATGCGTTGGAAGGGGTCTGCCTAATGTGCTGACTTGACTGCTTGACTCACACTATTTGCGTTACCCATGACCCAGTTAACGGGGCTAAAGCACTGTGCAGCGCTGTTTGCACTACCATTATGGTGGCATATATCGCATGCATGCCACCGGAGCTATTACATTTCGGCTATGAATGTGAATGGCAACAGCAGCGGCGGGCAACAGGTTCTTAATTTGTTTGTGAGCTTTGTTGAAATTTTCAACAAAAGTGATGAGTTCGAAAGGGAAGCGTTGAGAATATATGTATATAATTAACGCATAAAAGAGGAGAAAGAGGAAAGGGGAAAGGGGAGTAATGTGAAGTAGAAAGGTGAAAATATGGAATTAAGTACAGCTGCTGCGTATTTTCTACTTTTACTGTCAATAGTATGTTACTTGCGTCAATTCCTACCTGCCACGCCCCTGAAATGCAATATTTCAGCGAGTATGCTGGTTTTTTCTGCAAACAAAATTCTGTCAAATGCAATTTTATGCATTTCCAACACTCGAATAGCAGCGACATTCCACACGCACGCCACGCACCCCCCTCCGCTGCGCTGCCGCACCGCTGTTACCATCACTTTTGACACACTCACATCGATCACTCAATTGGTGAATGAGTTTGTGGCCACTTGAATGGTCGTGCAGTTGTTTTTTTTACACTTTTCTGCTTCGGCAGCCGTAATCAGCGCTCGCCATTAATCACTTAACTGCATTGTGCGATTTTATGCAATTTTTTGTTTTTGTTTTCACGTCGTAAATTGCAGTTGTTGCATTCATTAAATTTATGTGTTGGCAATTTATTTCACTTGGCAACGCGAAATTCTTTACAAAAATGCGTCTAAGTGTTGTTGTTAGTTTTGTTTTCATTTAAGCTACATTGTTCTTGTTGTTGTCGTTACATTACTGCTACTTTTTGCTTTTGCTTTTTGTTTATAATTGTATAATTTTGTCTGCATTCTTTTCGCCAGCGAATTTAATGAGGAAGTGATTGTCAGCAGCAATTGCAAGATCAACAACAATATTAACACACATATGTATGCATATCAGCAGTCACTTAGCAACATTCTCATGCCTGGCAACATCCTCATTGTCGACATGCTCGTGACAGTGACAACGGCATTTTTTGCATGCCATCACGCGTGGCGACACCACTCAGCGTCGATCAATCAGTTCAATTGAATTTGCATGTTGCTCCCATTTCCCACACAAAAACAAAAACTACACAAAAAAAACAATTGGAAATAATGGCCACACATTTTTTGATTTAAAAACTTTTCGCTCGTTTCAGTGCGCGTGTTGCATGTGCAAAACCCTCTGAAAAGCAAACTTCATTTAAATATGTTTGTATTTTTTTCCAAGCGCACTCAATTCGCACAATGCTAATTGAAAGATTGAAATCTTGCTTGTTTGCAAACCATATATCGCACTCAATACAACTACAAATATGAATGCGAAATGCGGCGAGTCATGCAACATTAAGCGTTGCATCCAAGCGAAAAGCGAAACATTGAAAGCTTTTGCATTCGACTGCTAATAGACGATTGTTTTCTAGCATCTTTCTATGGGTACATTTGTATGTAAGCAAATTTGCATTGTTAATTAGATTATTTTCCAATGAGGCTAGATTTCATTAGAAAATTTTGCATGTAGAAATAGTCAGCTCATTTACTATTAGTGTTAAGCAGTTAAACAGACCTTGTCTCTAGCAAAATAACACAATTTTCCGCGGTCAGTTGCTTCAGAAAATATCCATAAACTCGCTGTTAAAAGCAAGTCACCAAAAAACCGCACCACCATGGAATGAAGACTGCAGAATGTACTCATAAAGTACTATGAGAGCCTATGAGAGATTTATAGAAAACTTTACGAAATAATTTTGAGGAATGTTGCCGATTTTAGAACCCAGATTAAATCTGGGGCAGTTCCTTTACAAAAACCAGACTGTCCTGGCAACGTTAATGACTGAGAACAGACTGCAGCTAATGTACGTGAAAACAGTGCCGGATAAAATGACTTTTAGAACGTATCAAAAGTGGCATCCACTTTTTCATCGACTTATAATATCCTTGTATCTGCTGATACTGGGCATCTCCAACACAATAAATAAGACGCTCTTGGGGAAAAAGAAAGTCAAAGAAACTCGCCGCCATAGCCCTATCGACACAAAGAAGATGTGCGTGCACGTTTCCAAAATAATAGCTGCTCTTCTAAAAACAATGAACTATTATGTTCGAGTAATGCTTCTCAAAGAATATCGGAAACTTCTGTTTATCGTGTTAGCTTCGCGAAAACTTATGCTCAAGGTAAGTTCAGCTTATTTTCAAATCAATCCGCTTTAAAAAGTTTTACTGTTCTGTAGTTCTACCTGAGCACTCTTGATAAACCCATATGCAGACCATTTCATTCAAAACAAGCTCCAAAACAGATCAGCATGTATTTATTGGTTTTAACTAGGATTATGTTTTGTATTATTAGTTGTAGTTAAGATCTTGGTTTCAGAAATAGTTGGTAAATGCATCAAGTATTAGAAGAATCAAGGTGTAGGTAAAAATCTGTAGATATCTGAACATAATTGATAAAACCGATTTCTTTTGAAAATTTACAAATATCGAAAATTTCTTTCTCCTGACCTCATTGAAGCTTATGTAAAACAGAAATAATATTTCACCAAACCGACAATGGATAAATATTTCCTATAAACTTACATTGATCTTCACATGATATCAAGAGAACAAACCTATAAAATAATAAATTCTCTTCCACGGAAGCCGGTTATCGATGTTTCAGAGCAAGTACATATGATATTTTAAAGAGCTGCCAGGAAACTTAATTATATAAGCGGAAACAGTGAACAAGAAAATTAAAGTGAAACGGAAATAAGGTCAACAGCTACTTTTATAGGGTCTAATTAGAGGATATTAGCCTCAACTTAGCTAGCTAAAAATTCTATGATAATAAAGACTCTCATATTTACAGTACATCAGAAATGCAACTAAAAACTGCAATCAACGCGATGTTTTCAAAATCTTCTTCCCATCAATTGTTACCACAAAAAAATACTTAACTTAGAATATATCCAGAAGGTATTGTCATAAAAAACTAACTTAATAAGGTACTAGTTCAAACCAACAAATAAAAAATGCCCTATCAAAAAACGCAAATATGTATTGTAAACACCACTGCCAGAGTTGTATTAACTGTCAAATTTAAACAGCTGTTATGCAAAAATTGTGAATGCCACATATTAAAGTAGGAGTATGATTTTATAAAAATGTTTGCGGAAATGCCCAAAATTATTACAAGTGCACAAATAAACACTCCAAAAACAAACAAACATTTCGTTGTATAAATTGTGACTCGCTACGACGTCATGGGTTGCCCTCCACCAACTAACTGCTTGCCAAAATGTTGTTTTATGAAATATGATCCTTTCCGCAATGCGGACATGACAAATTTGCGCAACTAAAAGGCATTTATAAACTTAAATTTATACGTTTACATACACATATGTACAAATTGAAGTGTTTATTATTTACTACTGTGTGTGGGAAGTCGTGCAAGTGGCAGGCAAATATCATGTTGCAAGGCTTACATGTTATGTAGACATGTAAATACAAAAATGCTTTCCTAGTTTCCGCTAAAAATTCAATTCAATTCATAATTTTAAGCTTCAGTTAATACACAGAAATATTTCGATTGTTTAGTAATTGCTTCGACTATTTAAGACAGAAGACATGACAAGTCTTCATTAACTGCTCCGAGAAGTAGGCAATGTTATAGGAAGATAAAAAAAAGTTTATAATTTTTTTTTCAATATTATAAAAACAACCTTTGAGACTTCTCTTCTCTTATATATATTTATATGGAAAAAGTTATATTAGTCAAAATATTTAAAATAAAGTTGAGAAAATTGTTACTAATACAATAACATATTTTAAGCTTGGCACGAAGTTTGTAACCTCCAGAAAAAAAACGTTTGGGACTTTATAATATTTAAAATAGGTTAGGACACATCGAACACTGTTGATACTTAGCGATTCCAGATAGAGTACCGTTACGTAGTTCTTTAGGATGGCTGAGCTTGACGCGAGTTTCAACAAGCTCTGTGACTTCACTAACGATATCTCTTCCAACTGCTTCATTTTCGAGCTATAATATTCATAATAAGTGTAACACGCTCTTCCAAGAAGCTGCTCATTTGTCAGAATAGTCGATATCGGACCACTATCCTTGTATGGAAAACTTTTTATTTGACAGGATAACTTCACGAAACATTACATAGCTTATTGTCCACGATAACGCTACAATCTTTAAACAAATTGTTCAGATCGAAATACTATAACATATAGCTGCCAAACACACTAACCGAGTAAAACCAAGTTAAAATCTTTTATAAACTTTTATGCTTTAAAAAATTAACCTGTAAAGGGTATTATAGCTGCGGTTCAGCCGAAATAAAGGTTTTTTTGTTTCTTTATTAGACGATTGTGTAGCCCAAAAACATAACTAAACATGAACAAAGATACTTATGTATAACTTTTTAAAGTATCCAAAAATACTTCATTAAGAGGTAATTAGAACCAATGAAACTTTTATTGATAAAATGTATATAATATATTTTGTAAACACAATAAATACTAATTTTATATTTATTAGAAAGTGTCGAAACGAACTGTCAACTGGTATACATTTAATTTGGTGGCATAAACAAATGAAAATAGAAAATCATAGCTACCAAAACACATTCAAGTACTCTCATATATTGAATTTAGTAAAATATCGATTAATATATTTTTGTTAAAGACAGTAGAACCCTTGCACTTATTGCGAAGATAGAATGATAGATATGATAGATGATGGACATATAGAATAGTAAGCGGTTATACTTCTTTAATGAGACATCCATACTTTTTACAACTAAAACTAACTGATGATTCAGAACAGATTCGGAACTCAAACAGATAACGTGTAAGAAGTAACGAATCGAAGTTGGTTTGTAAGTATGGTATTTTTAATAATATAAACTGAATTTTCAAAATGCTTTTCTCTTACGAAAATTATAACTTCTATAACATTGAAACGCAAATATACCCTGGAGACATGCATAACTCATCAAACGGCAACATAATGAAAAAACAAAATGAACTAAAATTACAAAAGGAGTGCCGCTTACTGCCTTACATATGTATGTTAATATGTATATATGAACACAAATTATTTTAAATAGTTTAATTTGTTGCAAGCATTCGACGAACTGAATGCATCAGCGCCGCAAGTGAAAACCTCCGAGGCAGACAACAATGTAATGAGTACAAATTGAATTTTCGTGAACAGATACATATGGTACATACAATAAATATGTAAAAATCATATGCAATGTATTTAAATTTTCCAGTTACTATTCACTTTATGTAGCACAACAACAAGTATATGCAACTGACCGACCATATGTTACTCATTTCATTGCTTTTGTTTCAATCACAGCCATAAAAGTACAAAACGATGTCAAATTGCATATGGTCTATATGTGTATGTATATATGCCGATTCACTTGCGCAGTGATTTTTATGCAAGCACGACTTGTTGTAGTAATATGTGTGTGGTACGTGGCGCAAATGCAAATGCGTTAATCTTGTCATTTGCTGCAACGCATGTGTTCTTCATAAGCCCATTTGTGTTTTTAGCGTTCTGCGTGCATACATACATATGTACATACATACATGTAAGTATTGATATTTATATTTGTATGTACGCGGTGTTGTTGGTATACATCATGTTGGCGCCACTCTGCCGCTTTGTGTGTGTCACGGCTCTTGTTGCCTGCTCAGCCTACATTTGCGGTTTTTATGCACTAGCACATAAATTCCGCTGATTAATTTTTCGACATTTTGGTTTTTTGAAAATTCAATTCTTATTGCCCTTTCAGAGTTTATAAGAAGGTATGAATGTGACAAAGTGTGTGGCGGTGTCACTTTTAATTCAATGTTTAATTTAAAGCTAAATAATGTGTAGAGGGGAAATATTTGTATGTGCTTATACATACATACATAGTATGTACATGGGTATGCAAGTTAAATCGCTTTAAACTGTTTATCTGGAATGGCTAGTAGTCGTATGTAACAAAAAATAAATATAAGAAAAAACGGTTAACTTCGGCCCCAGCGGTGCTATAATATCGTTGACAGGTGCATTTCTTTTAGCATAAAAGCGTATATAAAGATATTCGGTTCTGATAAATTAGCAGCGTCTTGAGAAGAAAAGAACGTGTGCAAAATTTCAAGTCGCTATCTCAAAGACAGACGGACAGGGCTAAATCGACTCAGCTCGTCATGTTAATCATTTATACTTAGGTACATGCAAATTTTATAGGCACTCCGACGTTTCCTTCGGTGTGTTAGAAACTTCATAGCAAACTGAATATACCCTGCTTTGGGTGTAATAATAGCATTTTTTCGTGAAAATTAAAAAAAAAATTAATCTTAATCTCAAAATTTAACCTTTCAGATTGTATCTTCAAGTGAATTTGACAAAACTTTAATAATTTTCGGCAGTATAGCTATTTTAGTGACACAACACCTGAACCAGCTAGGTCGAAATCCGAACAAACTCAAAAATTTTATTTTTAATTCAGAAAAAAAAAAATTATTTGAAAATATTATTAATCAGACATTCGGAATTTTTTAAAAAAATTGTATTTTATTTTTTTTTAATCGCAAATTTTATTTAGATATATTATAAATTTTTTTTTTTTTCAGTTGCATTTTTTTCAACCTTCCACTTCAAAAGCTTATAACATTTTGAGTTTAAAATTTTGGAGCTAAAATATATTTAATTTCTTAACTGTGAGTTCTAAGCTCTGAACTAGAATACACCCATAATTCCACAAATTCACCAATTTCGCCTTCCGAAAGGATACTCTTATTCTTCATTTCGTATTTTGGAACATTTCATTTTACTAGTAAAGATGAAATTAGTTATACGCCTAAATTGACTTAAGCTATAATATATATTAAGGTTTTTAAAAAAATCTTGGCATAACCGTTTTCTCTATTTAATCACAATGTTAATTTTCTGGTTCTTGCTTATTATTAAAGTAGAAACAAAACTCGACGGAATCTCAAAGAACTCAGACAGGTGGACATAGAATGTGACTTAAGGTCTTTTTATATTTTGTTAGAAAATTATTAAATTTCTAAATTTGCATAATTATTATAAAGTATGATTTGCTTACTCTCCCTAATAAAAAGTGTTACATACCTGAAAGTAGAAGAGAAAGTGAAATTATTAGTCAAAATAAATATTT